CGTGGGCCCTGAGCTGCCGTGGGCCTCGCTGAGGCGGTGCCTTCACCCGTCTTCCCGGCAGCCCCCAGCTCCCTCACCCCGCCGAGGCCTTGTGGCATCTCTTCTGTCTTTTCTGCAGAGGTTTTTCCAGGACACGATTATGAGTGATCAAATCCAGTTTATTGTTGAGAAGCTCAATCAGGAGCCCTTCAGGAAGAACTACAATTTAATCACGTTTGACTCCTTAGAGTCAATGCAGCTGTTGCAGCTGCTCAGTGATGTTCTGGGGGAGATTGACCCAAAGGTAAGGAATGCAGTCAGGGGTGCTCTGACTTGTGTAACTGAGAACATCTAAAATGGGCTTGACAGAAATTTTCTTTTATTTAGGTCTGACTTTATAATCCTGTGGCTTGTTTGGTTTACTAAATTAGCTTGTATGAATCTTCCTTAAAATAAATGTGCCTGGAAAGAATCCTTTCTGTCCATACATCTGTGTGGTATTGGCAAACCTGGAAATATTTTTAGGGCCAGGGATACTGGATCTCTGTCCCCAGAGGCTGAGGACTGTGTATTTTTCCTTGGGAGTCGATGCAGATCCTAACTTGGTTCATACAGTCGCTGTGCTCTGAAGTCAGGCTGTCTTGCAGACCTACACAGAGCAGGGACTGCTCAAAAACTTAACCTTGTGGTTTAGCTGTTGCAATAGAGACTGAATCCCTCTCCTTCGAGGCTACCAAAACTGTGTGTAAGATCAGAAGGCATCGTTCATACACCTGGGGCACAGATAACGTGTGCCTTGGGGTGCTAGGAGATCTGACTTCCTTGGTGAAAGTATTCAGTTTGATGAGGTTCCATGAGCAGGCAGAATGTATGCCTAGAATAAATTTACCCAGATAGACATGTTGGAGAAAAATCCATTAGAGGAGAATTGAGGTTTGGTGATAAAAGGATGTTCTGTATGGAGCATCTCACTTCATTGACATATCATGATAAATGGATAAAGTCAATTCTTTTAGTGTTTTGAGTTAATTAACATGACTTGGACCAACAGTGGATAATTAATTCTATCTTTTTAAATCTATTTAGCATGCTGTTGACATCAGAGAGGAGCTGCCGGAACAAACTGCTAAAAGAATGTTGAGTCTTCTTGGTATCCTTAAATACAAACCTCCAGGAAGTACATCAGACTTGTAAGTATCTTTTTGTCTACAAATCACAGTAACACGTGTTACAGCTTATGTGGTAATGACCTTTAAATCAGTAGTTGTGTGTGGTTTTGACGCTCCTAGTGGGTAAGTTAAACGCCTTGAAGACAGCTCCTCACTTGTCCCTGTAAAGTGTGGTATAAGGGGTGCCAGGGGAAGCCTCCCGCAGGCGTAGGGGCCCTCGGGCCCTGTTGTCGCAGCTGCTGTTTGCGGAACCAGCCAGGAGAGGGTGCCGCATGACTGGCAGGGTCAGCCCCTTACCCAGCCCTCTCGGATTGCACCCTCCCGCGCCAGGTTATAACCCAGAAAACCCACATTCTTCCCGCATTTCTTTTGTTCCCGAAAAATATCGCAAAAAAGGAAGAGTCGCTGTTGCTGGCTTTAGCCTATTGATGTGTTACGGGGTTTTTAATCTGTGTCAGGGTGGCAGAATCGGGATCATAAATAGCAAACTGGCATTGTGAGCATTTTCTCTTTCAACAGCACAAAGAAAATCACTAGGCAAGTGGAGAGGGAATGTCAGAGTTGTGGCGATTCTTTGTTCCAAGCCAGTGTTCTTTAGTTTGAGATTTATTGGTGTTTTCTTTTATTGTTTTCCTATAGGAGTGCATTTCGCCAAGGCTTAGTTACTGGAAGCAAACCTGTGATTCATCCTGTCTTACACTGGCTTCTTCAGAGGACCAGTGAACTCAAGAAAAGAGCTTACCTGGCACGTTTCTTGGTAAAATTGGAAGTGCCAGCCGAGTTCCTACAGGATGATACTGTGGCTGACATCAACAAACAGGTACCATTTTTAATGAATGCTAACATTTTATGTTAGTTAATTAAAGTGCCAGTAGGAGGAGGGATAAATCAATCGGGAAGTTGCTGTTAAGATACACGTCCGAGTGAGTTATTTTAATAACTCGGAATCAAGGGTAAGCAAAGTTTTGTAGTAAGAAATACATGTCTTGACCACCTTTCTTCCAATAACCCTGAAACTGTATATTAATAGGTGGCATTGAATTAAAAGGTTTTAAGCCCATTAAGTACTGGGTACTACATGATGTTCACAGCCATGTTGGCCAAGACACATTTTTATTTCTTAATTTTTAAACACTTTTTTTTTTCTCCTCTCAGCTACAACATGGATATTTTTAACTTTATAAATTACCACTTCAACCTAGGCCAGAAAACGTTATGAGCAAAAGCCAATGTCTCCTAATTGTTAACTGATTGTATAGTATTTAAAGCCTAATATTTGTATGAGCTTTATCCCACTTCTGCTTCAACTATTTTTTGTGAATAAGTTAAAAAAAAAAAAAAATCTTTTTTCTGGGACAACATTCCTACTCATTTTATTCCTACTTCTTTTGTGAGCATTAAATGTTGATTTTAGCTAGTCAGACCGGGTGGGTTTGAAATGTAAAGCTTGAAGTGAACCGAAGTTATGTTTTTAGATCTGTATTATCTGAGGTACACGTTTACTTACTTTTTATGTAATTTGCTGTGCCTTTTGTTATGTATAATGACTTGCAAAATCACAATTTTTGACTGTTTGTAACAGGTAACTTGATTTTCTAACTGTTTATCAGCAAAGCAGTGTAGTCTGACTGAAGCTTTGCCTAAGCCTTTTAATTTTTTTGTTAGCACTGACAATATTTGATTTATAATTTGGAATGACTAAGCAGAAGGAGCAAAGAAAGGAGTGCAGACTGTATGCTTTTTCAGCATGTCACAGTTTTAATATGTATAAATATCCAACTCCATTATTTCCATTACATAAGATGTGTTCCTTTTTGGGATTACAGCGATACAACCATTTTAATAAACTAATGCCCTGCTGATTATTTCATTAGTATCTAAATATTTACATGGTAATGTTAAGTTACATTAAGGCACTGTATTGCCCCAGCTTCTGTTCTGAATTAAAGAATTTAGCCTAAAGTATTTAGATAGACAGGCTTGCAATAGCGTATTTTAAGTGAAACCTTTCAAACCGGAGAGTTTGAAATCTGCGAACACCGTCAGGTCTGATGGGTGTATAGAATCCAGCTCAGATGCTTCTCTCAGTTATTTAAACAAGATACTCTGAGTGCTTGCCACCGTCCCAACTGCACTGTGATTTGTACATCAGATTGGCTGTAGAATGTCATTTAAAAAGGAAGCAACTTCAGGCATAACTCTAGTTGCCCAGTCTCCAGTGAGTTGCCCTCAGCTGCCAGGAACTTTTCTTTCCCCTGTAGGAACCCGGGTGTTCTTGGGTCATCTGAGCGTCACTTACTTTGGGTGCCCGTGGGGTAGCTGTGGCTTTTATTTGGGCAGAGTGAGAAACCTTCCCTTTGTTCTATTTGGCAAACTGTGCTGTTCCCTTGTTTGAATCGTTAGTCTTGAAATTTTGTGTCCGTGTAAGGAAAGGACTTGTTAAACTCCCCTTTTGAAAGAGAACCCACACAAGGAGAGCTGTTGGGCATCAGCAATCGGGAATACAGTTGCTTAGAGACTACCTGCTCTTTCCTTGTTTCTCCAAGTACTTGTATAATGCATATGTGGTGTAATGCAGGCCAGTTGCATTTTTACTCCGTTTTTTATAACTCATTCTTCATTGTCCAACGTGTCCATGCCTTATCATACCTTTATTTGCCATTTAATCAAGCTCTTTCTCTATTGCCTTCTTCTCAGTAGCCATTTTATTGCTATTTTCTTGAATTCCTTCCAGCTTGTCAGTCTATTGAAACAACCAGAAATGAACAGAACAGTCTAGAGGCTGGTTGCCTGGGGTTTTATAGAATGGAATTGCTGCTTTGCTGCTCAGGGATATGATATCTTTTTCTGACCTGGCCTTTGATGTTGCCATTTTGTGTTCAACACTCCTATCAACTGCTCTTTCCAGGAAGTAAAAAATGACTTGATATTCTCTTTTTAGGTTTCTCCATCTTGTTGAATGGCTGTTTCCGTGGAGATTATCTTTCCTTCTATCTCAGCTTACATTGCTCCAACTTGAATCTAAATTTATTTCCTATCCATATTTCTAAACTCTTTCTGTCCCGTTATTTCTCTGCCCACACAGACTTTCACACTGCCTCTCAGTTTGAGATTACTGGTGGGCAGTCTACTGGCGTGGAAGTAGCACACTGTCTGCTTCTTTCCAACTACCGCACTACATTTATCAATCTCTGCACTACGCCGAGGGCACGATTATGCAATGTGTCAGAACTCTCTCACATCAGTCAGGTGTGCACTTGGAGCACCTTGCTGGATCGAAGTTCAGTGCTCTCCAAATTCAAGCCCCATTGCTTTGATCAAGCACGTTGTTAGAGCAAGCTCTGCCTTTTGGGGCTGATAAATTTACATATGTGATATATGCAGATTTATAGTGAGAGAATAATTTGTTAATGTAGCATTGTTGTTTTCAGATAACATCTTATCTTCCTGTTTTGAAAATACAAGGATGTATTACAAGGGCAGAGGGGAAAATACTGGAGAGATTGTGAAACTTCTGAGTGTACCATCAAATGGAAAATAATTCACTGTGATTTTTTAAATTTTTGCTTTATAAGTTGACAAGCTTTAGTGATGAAAAGTGCCTTTAATTCTTGTTCTCGCCATAGTCCTATCTCTATATTTTCTGTCTTAGTAGTAAAGCAACATGTTGATCTGAAACTCCCTAGACACAGAGCTCATTCTGCATGTTTTTTATTTCATTTTATAGTATGAAGAACTGATGGAGGCATTTAAAAACTTACATAAGGAGTGTGAGCAGCTCAAAACATCTGGTTTATCTACTGCAGAAATAAGAAGGGTAAAAAAATTCGACAAAATCACACAACTTTTGTTTAGATTATTTTGAATTCATTTTTTCTATTTCTGTTGCTTTTGCGGACCCGTTGTGGCTTGTAGGTTGTCGAGGTCCGAGCTGGTAGGCACTGCAGCTGCCTTTTTGAAACTGTTCTCTGTTGGCAAACGGATTAGAAAGTCCTCGCTCATGCTTAGAACTGAGCTTCCTGAAGCAGACTGGGGAACAAGGCTGCCAAGACTCTGGCCAGCATGATTTGCAAATACTAGAACTCCCTTTCCTCTGAATGTACACTGAGACAAAGCCTTTTGCTTTACTGATACAGGGTAATAATTGCAGAGGGTGTTGAATGAATTAAGGGCTTAAGTCAACAAAAATTATGGTCTTGTGTGGCTAAGGTGTTAAGTAAGATGTTTGCCCTGTTTCAGCAAAATATTTAAGCGTGGGTACAGCTTTTTAGTAAGATGTATGGGCAAGTTAAGCAAATGTTGAGAGAGAAGGCCTAAATTTGAAGAATTTATTTCCCTTTCTCTCATAACTATCAATCTCTCTAATCCTACTGTTGTGATATAGGATTAAAGGAAAGTAATAATTGGATACATGTTTTAGTGTTTCTTTTAGCACACTTTTAATACAAAAAGTGCCAGCAAATGTCACTTGTATGCAACTTCATGTACAGTTGTACATGTTCGGTGCCAGGAAGTGGGTAATGGTGGGAGCATCAACAAGATATGTTTGACTGCCTCAGATGTTGAGTTCATGCTGAGTTTGGCTTGGCTGTTTCTGTTTGGTTTTATTTTGGAGAAACCCAGCTGCTTTTCTTTTAAGTGTTCACACTAATATTCAAGGATGCAGGTGAAGCAATGGTAGCATAAAGAGAGTGGGAACTGTGGGGGAAGTAAGAGGGAAGAGAGATTGGCATCCTGGATGTTCTGATCATAGATCAGTAAAATTGTAACTGCTTCAGTGTATTGAGAGAAAAATTCTGTTTTGCTATAAATCCGAATAGAATTTAGTCCAATCCATATCTTATTGTAAACAAATTTCTTTATCTATTTTTTTCTGCTTTCAGGACATCAGTGCAATGGAAGAGGAGAAAGATCAACTCATCAAAAGAGTAGAGCGTCTCAAGAAGAGGGTAATAAGAGAAGTAACACTGTTACGTTTCAGTGTCATAATCCTTGGCTTGCAACTCTGATTTTGGAATGCAAACAGGGATTAAGATAAACATACTGTGTGTCTAGGAAGGAATCGAATAACTGATTGACCCACAGGGAATCTCCCTAGGCGTTAGTCCAGGGCTTTTAAGAATCTTGAGTCCAGTACTTCGCTGTCATTTCTGAGTAGTAACATGTATGGAAAGGAAGTGCTAAGTGGGCTTGTGAGACATATGATCTCTCCAGTGTATTTCTCAACTATCTGACAGTAACATGCACTATTTACCCGCTTGCTGTAGGTGGAGACAGTACAAAATCATCAGCGAATGCTTGAAATAGCAAGACAGCTTCGCTTAGAAAAAGAGAGAGAAGAATCTTTGGCTCAACAGAAACAAGAACAGAAAAATCAGGTACTGGCATAAAAGCACGCCTATTAAAATACATAGTTGTTTACATTTGTTCTGGAATTGTGCGTTAAAAACAGTACATTGGGAACAACACCACAGAGTTTCTCCGAGCACCAGAAAATTAAATCCTGTGTAAAATCTCTGTGTCCATTTTAAGAGAAGAGGCCTGGCCCTGCGAGTTTCTGATGCCTCATTCAAGGTACTTGGCTGCCCCAGCTGCCATGACCATCGTCATTTAGCAGTCCCAGGAGATGTTCCATGGCTTACTGCTGTAGCACCTGAAGAATTCTTCCTATCTGTGGTAGTGAGGAAATGTTTCCTTAGTTTGATTTGTATCTCTGTGCATCTGCACTAAGATTTTGGGGGCTGAGTAACAGCAACTACATCAGCTTTTCACTGGGTGGGGGGAATATGTATTTAGGAGCAACCTTGGGATTTTGGTCCCCGAGTTTAAGAATAATGGTGTCCTGGGAAGCACTGGAAGCAGTTGACATCTCAATGTAAGTGTGGGTTTTATTCCTGAGTTATGTTGTCAAAACAAGATACTTAGTGTCATATTCTTACATCATCACCAAATTCTGTAGCACGAAACTCAACACACTGCTAAAAGGGGAAAGCCCCCCAGTTTTCTAGTACTGCAGGCTGTATCTGGATGTGGAATCAGTGTGAGTCAGCAGGCGTTCAAGCTGTTGGGTCTTTCCTTGGACCTGAGTGAGACCACAAGTGAAATGAGTGTGATACCCAGCTAATTCTTACTGCACACCTCTCTAAATCACAGAAACGCTGATCAACTGGGCGTTGTTTGGCAATGAGCTGCCTGGTGTGCTCTCAGGTCGCACAGTGGATTGCGGCGACAACGCCACTGCACGGGAGAACTGCACTGTAGCACTAGTTACCTGCTGCAATCTGACCCTTGCTCTCTGTCTTTTATTGTGCTAATATTCCTGCCACACACATTTTTTAGTGAATTTCTGCCATAGAGGTAATATCTCTTAGGGGGACAAGAATACTCAATTAACACTAGAGAATATCAATTAAACCCAGACCAATTGTTGAAAATTCGTTTTGGCACATTCCCTTGTGAAACAGATCATCACCAGATGCTTATAGCTACTATTTTTTATATTTGGGATTCTTTTTGATACTCGTTTGGTTTAGTTGTTGGAATATGCATTTTAAAGGAATGAGCTTATGTGTGTTCGATTCTCTCTCAAAAGTTGTTCCACGCAGAGCAGAGACTGCAAAGAGCACAGCTCCAGCTGAAAGAGATGCATCATGCAGTAGCAGATTCAAAACCTGAGGGTAAGTAGTGATCTATGGAGGATGAGAGCTTATGCTTCTGTTAGGAACGCAGTCACAACTGGGTGGCTGTCAGTATGGTAGTGCCAAAACCACACAGGAACTTAAGAGAATCGTAAGAAAGAACGGACTTTAGTTCTAAAGGCACACGCTGGGGATCCTGGGGCTGAATGTGCCTTGCCACAAAAAGCCAGGGAGACAACCACAGGGGAAGATGATATCAGTCATATTTTTGAGGTCCACGTCTTCAAAAAAAACCTTTACCAGTTAAACACTGCATACTAACCATAGTACTCTGCAGGAAAAAACCACTTGGAAGTACAAAGGGTTGGGAAAAGCAGAGACCTCTTACTAAATCAGAAGTTTGTCTTTTCTGAGGTTTTATGCCTTTTTTGTGCACGTTTGGGCACTGGTGAATTCCTGCTTCTTCAAAATGTCCTCAGTGAATGTACAAATACATGGAGTGCTGTTTTGTCGAGTGTATGCTTGTTTTTCTAGTAACCTCCTGTGATGGATTTGTTTGAAAAGCTTTAAGGCCTGTTTCTTACTGCAGCGCAATTTCATGTTGACGTTTTGTATGGTACCAAAAATGAAGCTACTTCCCAATTAAGCTTTCTTATAGATAAGTCTTTATATCTCTATATAGATAATCCATGCTATATGATTAATTTTATAAGTACATATGCCAAATATATATATTAAAGCCTATGTGTTTCTGCATGAATGTATTTGTTGGCCTATGGACATGCTTTGTCCTTGTTACACGACCTTAGCTGATTGAGTTGCCTGTTGCTGCATTACATTAATAACAGCAAGATCGCTTCTCCTCGTTTGTAGCGATACCTCAGGCTGCAAATAACCTCAGCAAAATAAATTGCGCTCCTTGTGGAGCAAATCAGTTCTCTGTGATCACTTATCGAAATAGCAGGTGGGAAGGAATTGCAGTGACTAGATAAATGCATAACTAACTCTCCAAAGGCTACAGTGTGACAACCTCTAGGTTTGTGATGATTTAATCACTTGGAAGGAAATGTAGCAAGGATTAGCCTGGCAGTTTGAGGACAGTCCTGGGAGTCAGTTTAGGGTTTAGTGTTTCGGATGTGTGTGATCTTTGGCAAATCGCTTAACCCCTTTCAGTTTGTCTCTTGCACGTGGTCATCAGTAACACGTCACAGGGTTGATAGAGGCTTTACGTGCTCTTCGTGCAGGCATTGCGGCTGATTTCTAGGGAAATACTTTACGTGAAGTAGTGTGAAGGTTTAAGACTCGGAATGGTCTTTTCACAGGGCTTTTCCAGCTGCATGCCAAGTTGCTATGGTAAAAGAAAAGCCATATAATTATTTTTATTATCTGTACAAATTACTTCCGTAGTGAAAGAATCTGACTATTTATCGATTTAAACTTAGTCCTACTCCTTCAGTTACATTTAATATGCCAGTTGCATCACATAACTGCTTTGGCAGCTGTCCTGAGTTAGAGAGTTTTTCTCTGTCACCACCACCTTGCGTTGTTATTACTTTGTAATGTTAATGTCATTTTTTTATGGTGCTCCTCAGTCATTGAACCACAACTGGAGCTAAAAGAGGATCTGATCCATCTTCTTTACTCAGAGGGACCTGCAGTGGATTTTATAACTGTTCCATTTTTGCAGTAGCTATCGGAGAGTTTATACAGCAAAGCTGTGTCAACATTTCTATTTCAGTTCCTGGTTTTTTTAGGGCCAATGGAAACTTGATGGGTTCAGTTCACAGCACTAAAGGTAACATAATAAAAAGACAGTAAATATGTCATTTAATCACTGAGATGAAAATAAAGATAAAGTTAACATATTTAATTTCCTTATCTTAAGTCCTGCTTTCAGGGAGAAGAAAAAGTGTTTAGATGTTCTGAAGAAAACCTTGGAGTCATTACTTAAGAAAACTTGTGTTGAAATTATGCCCAAACAAAGACTTAAAACTGAGCTTTCTAATTGCTTTTCCCCATCACAGTTACAAAGACACTGCCTGTAGGGGCAATTACAGAATGCCAACTGTGTTTTTTTTAATAATTAAAATTAAGTGACCACAGTGCACTGACTCGGATTCTATTTATTTTAAAAGCTTTTTTGGTCTACGGTTATCACCATTTATTTTAAAAAGTCCTTTGGCTGCAGTTTGGTACCTCAGCTGCCTACTTATCGGTACAGCTTGTATGCTGACAATTCATCGGCTGGTTGGTAGGTGTGGATTTTCACCTGGAAGTTAGATACTTCCCCTAAAAATAACTTTTTTCCATTTTTAATACTTCAGGTGTTTTTACCTCGAGCAAGATAAAATTATAAAAGTTGTGATTAATGAATAGAGGCTTTTTTGTTCGTTTCACAGACACGTGCTGCTTTGATTATGTCATCTTAATTAATTTAGGATGAAGTGCTTTAAAGAAATGTAAAGGAACTCTATTTACTTCTGTATGCAACTAGCATATATTCATGGCCGTCATTAATATGCAGTTAGCATCAGTCTGCTTTAGCTGTGCCAGGAAAATACGGCTTATGGTTAGTAGGTTTTTAACTCTTAGAAATATGATATTTAGAAGACTTTATTGCTGTGAGATGTTTTGCAGACTAAAATTGATCATACTGGCTCCTTCCCTGTTTCTTAACTACTCAGTTTGTTTAACTACGGAGAGGCAGTTGCTGCTGGTAGTACTAAGTAAGATGAATTTGTAGTCTCTGGGGGTTGTGGTGGTGGTCTGGATATGAACAGTATTTTTCTTAACACTGCCCACTAGTTTGAATAACCTAGCTCATGCTTTCTCAGCAAGATTGCCATCTTTCTGCCTTGAATATCTCTGCTGGCCCAAATGCAAATTGTTAATGCCAAGGAGCAAACGGAGTTGCTGAAATTCTTGATGTCTGTCCATTTTAGAGTACATTATTGTTCACTTTATTGGCAGAAATACGAAGAAGTGGATGAGTGGCTTGAAAATCTTGATTAAAAGAATGTGCTAAGATGGTTGTTGTTGATAAACAGTGAAATGTGTAATTTATATACTTCATTAAGTTAATATGTAGTAATAGATTTAGGGCGCTGGAAGCTTCAAACTACCAGCCAAAGAGGAGTTGCTTTGTACAGGTGTCTGGTTTATGTCGTTCTGAACACTTGATGAAAGATAGAAATTTAGGGTGCTATTATTTAAATATTCCATTTGAATGAAAGCATTAATAGTTTTCT